CTTTTCATATTCTTCCATACAAAAGGAACTAGAATGATTTATCTTACTGAAATTTAGGATTTGTAACATGGTCCTTTACAGATTTGAAGAGAAGTAAACATTAACTGAGGACAGTCAACTCAGATGTCTACTTCATGGTATTACTCCTTTCCAGCAGCTATAAAGATTAATTTATTTGATATGAAAGTCAATTTATTTGAAGTCTTCCATATAGATATACACAGTTAAGTAAAATTAATTTAATGAGGGATGCTTTTTTTGTTTGTTTTTTTTTGTTTGTTTGTTTGTTTGTTTGTTTGTTTTTTGTTTGTTTGCTTTTGTCAAAAAGCCTACATATTACTGAAATCCTTATGCTAAGAAACATATTCCTAGTCCTATAAATGTATGTCCATCCTAAGTCAATTACTAGTAGCAAGAGTTTTGTTTACATGATTATCTCTCTGTAGTTTCTGGTTATAGCTTTTAACAGCATGATGTTACTTCTGACCAGTTTATAGGCTAAGGTGGAGCCCAAATTCTCAAAGGCTTAGTGCATGCACACAGTGATGTCAATAAAATGCTTTTAGTCTGAAGAAAAGCTGTTTGGTCTGTTGCTGTAGTGCCCCCCCCCACTCTCTCTTTCCCCCCCCCCCCCCCCCCTCCCGTCTCCTCATTTAGTATATACATGTAAAAAAAGAATCTGGTCTAAATTAAATTCTGGTCTGGAATTAAGAGTCTTAAAGACTTTGATGAACAGAATGACAGAAAATAGAAGAAATAGAAACTTCTTTCTGTCTCTTTCTCTTTAAGAATAGAACATCAATTTTAACAAAGCCTATTTCAACAAGATATTAAATCCTACTTCCCTTCTTTTTAATTTCTCTTCTTTGGGGGAATTTTCAAAAACAGAAAAAGCCTTTAGCCACTTTCTATGTTGTTATAATATGAATAATTTTCTCTGCTATTTATATGCACCTAAATCACACAGAAGCCTTCAAAAATCTCTTGCCAACTAAATCACAGTATATTATTACAATGAATATTCTAAAGCATGATTGTGAAGAGTCCAGGGTAAGGAGGGATTAGTAGTGAATGGTTAGAGAGACTTGTAGACACTTTTTTCATTTTTAGGATCTCCATAAAATTTTCCTACCCTAATGGCTGAAAAAATTGAGACAAAGTGTTTTATTACTGCTAAAACACAGAGATTTGGGAGTGTTCCTTGTTCTGTAACCATGAGAAACTCCTGACTTGGGATGAGTCCAGAATCTATGAGGTTTAGGAATCTTTGCTGACAGTTCTGTACTGCTTGAGTATTTTTTACTCTGTCTGATCTGATTGAGTGAGAGCAAGCACAGAAAATCATTTATTGCTGTAACTCCTGACCGGTCTCAAAAGGATGTGAACAACAGAGGGGAGTGGTATGCATAAGTGTAAAATCTCGGCCTTTGGCCTAAGAAAACAAGAAGTCTAGCAACTCTTCTCTAATTTGGAACCATGCACTTGACTAGAATCCATTCAGGCACCTGCTGAGATTTATTTTTATCACTGATTTCTAAATTAGGAAATAAAAATACCATTCTTGAGCAAATGGTGGAAGAATCTATTAAATCCTATTAATATACAAGAGTAATATGCAAAGAGAAGAAAACAAAAAAAATATTTTGTTGTTGCTTCTATTTTCTTTTCATGAAGTGTCAGTAGTAAAAACAAGATTTATATATATATATATACATATTTTTTTTTTCCCCCAGCGATATGCTCATGACTAATAAATTCAGAGAAGAGAGAGAGAGAGAGAGTGAAAGAAAAAGAGAGAGACCACATTACGGAAGGGATTACAAAGTGAAAGAAGGAAGATCTTGAGGAAGCAGGAGTACTCAAAGTATAAAGTCTGGGAGGTGGGAGGCAAGTGTTTTAAAGAGAGGCTTAATAAAGTTAGCTTTGTCTGTGGAAGAGAAAGTTACCAAAATATTCTACTTCCTTGATATGAAAAGAAATTACAGGGTGACTAATCTTTTTCTTTGTTTTCTGCTTTTCTTGTTAGTGTTTATGAAACAGTGCATCGGGACCATGATGCCTCCTGTATCTGGCTTTGGGACAGGTATATCACTGAGTAATATCAAATTGATTGTTAATAGGAACATTGTGGTCGTAAAGTAGCGATGAGAGAAAAAAAGGAAACGTGAAAGTCCTTCAAAATAGCCAAATTGAAACCTTGCCTGGTCAAATAATATAAGTCAAAAATAAAACAACGCATTCCTGAAGCAAGCTGCATTTACACAGAATATTGGAAAAATATCGTTTTAAAGTAAGAGATATATACGTCTCTTCCTATGTATTTTTTTTTTCCTGATAATATAACAAATATTTTTCTATGTATTTACTTTTGAAATAGCTGGTTTGCTTGTTCTCTCAAATGTCTTCTATTCTTCTTAGATACCTATGGACTGCATGTTTTTTGTTTGCCCTTATCTCAAGTTCTTTGTATTCAACACCCAACATGTTAAAACCTGTTTGAATTTGATTTCAAATTCTGATGGCCTATATTCATTATTGGATCCTTAAGTATGCTAGTGTTTATATTCTTTCTGTTGTTGTTATTTCTGTGTTACCTTCACCAAAGTAAAACCTCTAAAAGAGTTTCTCTGTTGAGGATGTAAAGGTATATAACTACTTTTGTGGAGATACTGAAGTTGCTACAGAAAGTAAATGGTCAGTTATCAGTTTTACTTTTAAATTTCTTATTTTTTAAAAAATAAGAGCCTGTGTTAACAAAATTCCTATAATTGCAAATCTGATGAAGAAAAACAATTCTATTTTGCTGTTGTGGGGGAAGCAACTTCAAGAAATAAATCTACACACAATGAAGGATCTTTTTCGTGATGTCAGTGCACATCTCTAAAATATGAAAAGTAAATAGGAATATTAATATTGTTTCTACAGATTTGTTACCATTTCTTCATATATATTGATTTTCTCTCTGTTAGATTCAATATTATATACTGGAATGTTATAGTCATTTTTATTAGAATCATAATATCTCTTCCCCATGGTTTATTTTATTTATTTATTTATTTATTTTCTCTTCGCATTATGATACACATACATCTGATTGTATATTAACCTCTTTATGATTTTTCTGTGAGAGAAAATGCTTCTGCTTGAAATGTGACAACTTACCTGCTACTGGTAAATATGTAAACATAAAATAAATCCATATGACCAGTTGTACATGTCCACATGCAAGGTAGAAAGGAATTAGTGAATGAAATTTGAATGAAATTAAGCAGCACCCTTACCTTAATTACAGTAGGTTTAGTAATACTGTTTCCTTTTTCTTTAATCTGTTTTTAAAGAGGGCAAATATTTTCAGAAGAAAATGAGCCGATAAAGTTTCTTCTCAGTTGTTTCCATGTGCAACTTAACCAACACCATAGAAGAATTCATATCTATGGGCATGAATAAATTTCTTTTCCTGAAACAAAGTAGAAACTTGAAATGAAATCTTAGGTTTTAAGAGCATTCAACAGGTCTGGATGAAATTTCAGTATATTCTAGTAATTAGTTCTAATATTGGTCTCAAAATAAACTTCTATCCTGATATAACAGGCAGAACAAAGACTAGTTTCTGTATAAATATTTACAACACAGCCACCACGATCTCTTAACATATATCAATTGATATATGTGGCTGTTCGGATAATATGCACTACTGCTGTCAGTCCCTTGTTTTGAATTGTAATACAGTAAAAGTCTTATATATAAGGACATTCCATCACTGATCCTTTTTATTGGCAGATCACCTGTATATGTATATTAATTGCAATCCATCTATAACATTTCAGACTGTGCCAACAAGCTTTTAAACTAGAAACTAATTCCTGAAAATTAAAAATAAACGAATCTTATAATCTAAAAATATAACAATAAAATATATTTTTTTTTCCATTGAGATGGCCTATTTTATATAAAAAATAATATAAATATATAAAATAATAAATATATATTTATATAGAAAGTAATATAAATATACACAAATTTCCCTGCAAAAATAAAATATATATAAAACAGTTGATTTCAGTAGTATTACATCAAAGATTAAGTTAATGTTTAGACAAAGAATATATATATTTTACCCTGTGCTGACCACAATCACAATATTAGGACAAAGCAAAAGAAAACTGATGAAAAAAGATAGCGTGTACTTGATGTTGATGGAATGTATTCTTGTGTCTAATACACTAGAGAAACTCTGCAATAACAGTTCACCCAAGTGAAAAAATTGCCCCATTTTGCTCCCAAGGTCAATGTCAGTTGAGGTTATTGACTATATAAATGCTAAATACAAAAGTTTGAATTGTCCAAGGTACTTTAACTTGCACACTACACTTTTCAAGGTTCCTCGGTTGTATTTACAATTTGCTTTCCTTGTTCGCTTATGCTTTTTGTTCTCTCTCTCTCTCTTTTTTTTTTTTTTCCCCTAAGAGCAATTTCAGCTTGTATTTCTTACATGTTAAATATAGATGTCACCATTATGTAAAAACAAAAAAAACAAACAAACAACAACAACAAAAAAACATATTCAAGAACTATTTGTTAGGTTATCCTACCAATATCCTACCTACTAATTGTTATGTACTGTTAAGACCATTCCCATATATGTAGGGAAGCATAGAGGGACGGTGTAGGGAGAAACTACATAATACCCTCCCTACTCAGGCCATCACATGCCCATCTGTTCAGAAGGAGACAAATGCAAATGGGAACCCAAATTAAGGACTCGGAGAAAGGGGAACACAATCTAGGCCCCTCCCAGTGCTGTTCCAGGACAACTTCATCCCCATGGGCCAGGTGTGAAACCCACCTGAAAACAGTTCTCTGATCATTTTACAAAATGAGGGGTCCGTTACCAATTCATTACCCATTTGGGACACATTACGGGTTGTATTGTGGGACTGCAGAAGGCTTATTACATGATGTTTAGAGGAGGAACCAAAGTCTTTAAAAAGGATGGGTAGCAGAAAGGTAGACAGAGAGAAGCAACTGGAGTTAGACCATGAGTCAGAAGTCCCTTGTCAGCAACTGTAGAGTGTGTAGGTATGCATGTGAGCACTAGCAAGGGCCAAGCCAAACTTGCCAGTGATTAGTTGGTGAGACCTGGGAAACAGGCACGTGTGTTTCTCTAAGGATAAGTCCAGAGGAGAGTCCCAGTCAGCTGCTGGAGAGACAGTGGAGTCAGTTAGATAGGAGGGGTGTGCATGCAATGCTCTGTACCAGAAAAGGGGTGAGATTGTGGCCTTTGGTTGTGTTTGGGTGCCAGCAATGGGGGAGACTAGGATCCAGGTGCAGCTGCTGAGCAGAATAAGTGTTTAAGATTACCTGTGGGAGAGCTTCAATTTGTACATATGTGTGTGTGTATACACATACACATATTTGTAGTATATATATATATATAGAGAGAGAGAGAGAGAGAAAGAAAGAAGATGTATAAATATTCATGTATTTATTACTAGTGGAAAACTACCCTGATCAGTCAGAGGGGAACAGGATGACTCAGTTGGTGATGTTTGTGCTTGAGTGCTGAATGTGTTGATCTGTGGCTGTGTTGCTCTGTGTGACGAGACATTTACATGTACAGATATATGGTGTACAGCTGTGCTCTGTCTGTGTGTGCCTAGTGGCAATACATGGCCAGCCCTGTTAGTGTTCAGACCTGAGGGCGTGGGACTGCAGCAACCTTACCTCTTTGGGGCTACTGGATTCAACATATCCCTGACTTTGTATGCTCTGCACATGAGTAACCTGGATGATGTAGTTTAAAAATATCTTAAATTAAAGGCCAGTATTAGCATTGATAGATGTAATGAATTTTGAAACTGCACAGGAAAAAAAAAAATGAAGAAGAAAAGGTTCTTTCAACAACCATTTCAGTTCTGTACAGAGAAATTTTTTAGGATTAGGGAGAAGGGGAAAAGACAGCAAGATATGCTTCCACACCAGGAGGGATCAATTTTTCAGTGACTTCAGCCTCCTTCTATTTGCAAAAGATTCATTATATTTCTGAAGTTTCTTATATATATGGAATTACTCAATGAGTAAAGAATTAATCAGTGTGACTAAAGTTGACATAATTAGGTCCTAATTAATCTCGCTGAGATCATAGAAGGAATCAGTCAGCATTGAAATAGAAATACATTGTGATTCTTACCATGGTTCCTACTGCATAACATACATGCATTGGTGCCAAACTAGCTGCCTGCTTTCAATTTTGATTAAAAACTGTGCCTTTCTATTTAGTCACTTTTTCTTATTTCTTGCTCTGTTTGATTGCAAGCTCCTATAAACATTACATAGTATGAAGGACTGCATTCTACAAATGGGGCCAAATGTTATACTGCACGATTCAAAATATTAACCTGTAATCCTGAAGCACAATAGATACCGTGACTTCCCAGGAGAACTCTTCAGTTCTGGCAGGAGCTGTTTGGGAATGCTGAGCTGGAGCAAACACCATTTGAGAAGGGCAAAAAGGAGGATCTGGGAAACTACAGGCCAGTCAGTCTCACCTCTGTCCCTGGAAAGGTATTGGAACAGCTTGTTCTGGATGCCATCCCCAAGCAATTGGAAGAGAAGAAGGTTATGAGGAGTAGTCAGTATGGATTCACCAAGGGGAAGTCATGCTCGACCAACCTTGTTGCCTTCTATGATGGCATCACCAGCTGGGTGGATGAGGGGAGACCAGTGGATGTCATCTACCTTGACTTTAGCAAGGTTTTCGATACTGTCTCCCATGACACCCTGATAGCAAAGCTGCGAAAGTGTGGGATAGAGGAGTGGACAGTAAGGTGGGTTGAGAACTGGCTGACTGGCCAAACTCAGAGGGTGGTGATCGGAGGAGCAGAGTCTGGCTGGAGACCTGTGACTAGCAGTGTTCCCCAGGGGTCGGTGCTGGGTCTGGTCTTGTTCAACATCTTCATCAACGACCTTGATGAGGGAATAGTGTCTGCCCTCAGCAAGTATGCCAATGACACAAAGCTGGGAGGAGTGGCTGACAACCAGAAGGTTGCACTACTATTTGGTGAGACCTGTACAGGCTAGAGAGACGGGTAGGAAGAAACCAAATGAGGTTTAATAAGAGCAAGCGTAGAGTCCTGCACCTGGGAAGGAACAACCACATGTATCAATACAGGCTGGGGGATGACCTGCTGAAGAGCTCTGAGGAGAAGGACCTGGGGGTCCTGGTGGATGAAGGGACAGGACAAGGAGTAATGGTCACAAGATAGAGCACAGGAAGTTCTGCACTGACATGCAAAAGAATTTCTTCACGGTGAGGGTGACGGAGCACTGGAACAGGCTGCCAGGAAGGTTGTGGAGTCTCCTTCTCTGGAGATATTCAAAGCCTGTCTGGATGATGCCTACCTGGGCAGCCTGCTCTAAGGAACCTACTTTGGCAGGGGGGTTGGACCTGATGATCTTTCGAGGTCCCTTCCAACCCCTTCAATTCAGTGATTCTGTGATTTGCACTGTTATCTGTTTTTTGTTTTTTTTTTTTTTTTTTTTCATCTGTGGCCATTATTGTCCACAGATAGAGGTACATATCCAGAGATGCATTAAATGATTATTTGTAGTCACTGTTATAAGTAAGTCAGAGTACAATTTTTTTTTTGTAGCAGGAGTGTGAATATGCATTTAAATAATATAATAGGAAACACAATATATATTTCTAAAATAAGATAATTCTTTTTAAGGATGCGTTATCCCAAGTCAGTAAGCCAGAAAGAACTACCTTAGTATATTATTATAATACTCCTGTCACTCTTTTATCAGTTCAAAGCCAGTGACTGGTGAGGTATGCCTTACTTGCACTTTTCAGTCATGACAATGTGTTTGTAGGATGTCACACAGAATAACATGGATTTTAGCTTGATCTAATCATCTAAATATCTACTTTAAGTCCTGTGAAGATTTGCAGCCTAAGGCAACTGTCAGTCTGTGAGAGTCATATCAGTTAATTTACAAAACATGATTTTATTTTTATTTCAGTGTCTGCAATTTGGACATATACTGAGATCAGTATCAAAACAGAAAGCAAATTAGTGTAATATAGATGTGATGTAACATCTGAAAGGCCAAGATAAGAGGAAGAGAAAAAGAAAAAGAAGAGGAAGAAGAAGAAAAGGAAAAGAAGGTAAAGGAGAAGGAGAAAAATGTTGTGAGTTTCCTATAAATGTTTAAATGTTTTCTGCATTTGTATAGCTATTGCCATTACACAAAACATAAAATAAATAGGACACTTTTTTTTTTTTTTTTTTTTTTTTTTTTTTTTCCCTTCTCCAAGCATCTCAGGCTAATCTTTGACCATGTGTCATAGTAATGACTATGACACATGCACCATGTCTTCTTCTATACACACCTGGACTGCCATTGCTGCTGTTGGCTCTCACAAGGTAAGCCTGAAGTCAGAAGATAGGCAGATTTATCTTCAGATCCAGCATACAGGAAGTGCTGGCAGATTCAGCACTATAGATATGACCTTTATAACCAGCTGGATAATTTTCATCTTTCTTTCCAGAACAGTTCTGTATCTTATAACAGATTAACATATTAGTGTAATATTTTTCTCATTTTCCAGATGAAGGATCAAAATATAAAAATACTTGTTTGAAATACGTCTTGAAATTTTAAAAATCTGTATCTGCTGCTGTTTCAATTTTCAAATCTTTCTATAACTTGTTTGGAAATGCTAATAATATTAGTATTTCTCTACACAGTTTTCTGTTGCATCATTCAGCTACCAAATCCATTCAGTGGTAGACGAAGACTTCCTCAGACAAAGCTTGTCACTGTACTATATTATATAAGATTTTTTGTTTGTTTGATTTGCACAGACACTGTATGTTGACATTTGTACAAAATTTGCAAACACAATTTAGTTTAGCTTATTAAAAAGAATAGTACTTCCAGGAGGTATATTTGTGCTGGAAGATTTAATTTGCAAAGTTTAATAAGACTTAATGACTCTGTTCACAGCATTTATATTTTTATCACTGTTCTTTAGCAACAACTCTTGATAAAATTTGGATGGAGATTCATCCAATAGTCCCCCAGTAAAGCAAAACAGAACACAACACTCCTAGATCAGTGTCTCAAGTTAAATTCAGTGACTGGTCACATGGATTTTAGTTTAGATCATAAATATACCACATGGCTAAATCAGTGCAATATTCTGCTTGAACAGCTAAGCTGACTATTTCATTTTAACCTTGGTAAGGAGATTGAATGAGTAGATAAACTTGGTGTTAAGATGATTACAAAAATAAAAATAAAATAATATTTTATCGATTATTATATTATCATATTTTATACGTTGTATATAGCATTTATATATAATATATCATATTTTTATTTATTAAAATAATAATAATTCTACAGTCTTAGTGCAGTAGGTCTGTTGTTCATCCTGGTAGATAACATTAATTCCTGTTTCTCAAATAAACATATGACCTCTACCATGCAATCTCAGAATTAATGTAGTTATTCACGAATCTTACTGGTTCAGAAAACACTTTCTGCAACCAAGAAGTCTAGTTTTGTTCAAGCTTATGTTTTACCTCACATTCTTAGTGAGTTTTAACATTCCAGGTGCCAAACTGTCAAAGCTCACATTGTGTGTCACTGGCATGGTCAAGCTTACGGGCATTTCAGGAGCACTATTCTTGTTAGGTGTCATACTGATGGGCCTACAGTGATCAAAAGATGCAGGTCTTCACTGGGGAATTCACAGCTACTGTTAACCTATCAAGTGGTTAGAAAGCTGTAAGAAGTAAAATATTTTTTTATTATTATTAATAATAATAATAATATATAGAACTTGAACTTCGTATTCATAGCATGAAAGAATGAAAAGACAGGATTTAGAGAAAAAGTAGAAAATAAGTTAGTGCAAGGTAAAAAAAAAAAACAATATTAAATTTCTGCTTGATTGTTCTATTACTTCAGCTCAAACAGCTTTAATTCCTGTGGAATCATGATCAGGGGAGATGAAACAGATTATTATTCTTATTTATTTATTTATTTATTTAATAGTAGACTTGTAGAAGTGGCATGAACAGGGTCCTTAGTCTTATTTTATTCTTCTACACATTCTGCCCAAGAAAATTCAGAAGGGTACATTATCTCATTGACTAAGAAGATGAGAAAAAAAAAAAAGCCCCCAAGTATTCTATTTGAGTTGACCTTTATAAGGAACAATTCCCACTGTGTTTTAAGTACCAACTCAGAAGCTCTGGGACTAATTAGTTGGTCCATATGCTGTGATTGCAATAAACATTGAACACAACTTTTGTAAAGAGCAAGGTCACTGTGATTACCTATATGAAGTGTCATCCAGGTCTGGAGAAACTCATTACTACAAATGAATGACTTTTTAAATTATTACTTATTTTTCTTAAATATGACTTGAAAACAATATAAATATTCCATAGAATGGAATACTTACTAAGTCATAATTTTTCAATCATAACTCAGAAATAGATAAATTTGTTCTGCTTTGTCAGAGAATAACTATCCTTTAAAAAGCCTAAAGAACACTATGTAAATTAATATATTTTACGAAGTTTTTGCCTTCAGATGTATTCTAAAGGTTAAAAAGCAGTTACAAATTGTAAAATAAGAAGGCAAGCTTCTCATTTCATTTATTTTATCTTTCTTTTTCCTCCTTTGAATACAGTTTTCCTTAAATTGTATTTTCCAGAAATTCCTCTATTTCATTTGTACTTTCTCTTTCTCTAATACTCTTTTTGTAAATATCACCTTAAAGCACTTCTTAAGTATCTGCCAATAACCAGTATTTCTATACACTACAAAATGACATATATTAGCTTTTCTTTTATGTGGTTTGAAAAATTATCTTCCTTAATTAAGAATGTGTTTTAAAGAAAACAGAGATTGCATAGAGTGTTCTCCCATTTTCTATTTTCACTTTTCTAGACTATAGAATGTATAGACTGTAGATAGGACTTTCCTCTCATACTTGCATATGATATTAGAAGGTGTTAGTCACTACTAAATGTTAGTGTGGAGCAATTTCTTCAGTAGTAATAGGTGAATCTGTTCTTTTGCATTCATATAGCATTGAGATACCATTAACATGTGGTTATTTATATTGCTGAGGGGTGGGGATCTACGTGTATAAAGGAGGCACAAAAAAGTGTAGTGGTGATTCAATGTTTTTCTATACCTGGAAATACACAAGACAGAAACAGAGAATTCAGAAACCCTAAAATAGCAGCACCACATGAAAAACAAGTTATAAACTGGAGGAGTGAGTGTACTCTTACTGTGCTGAAAATAATCAATTTTCAGAGTTTGAGCTATGCCTAATTATTGACTTGCATTTAATTCTTCTGAAATAATACCCAAGATAATGCAAGGCTGTACCTGACTGTAGAGTATGTAGGAGACATAGTATGTGAAAAACTCATGTATAACAAAGAAATCAAAACGTTTAAAAATGGGAGAACAGAAGAATAATGTATTAAGTAACATTTCATGTGAAGGAGAGAATAACTGCTTTTGTCCCTGTTCTCTTGGTTATTTCAGTATGTATGTGTTGATGGCTAATCTAAATAAATAAATAAAATAAAATATGTTCAAGAATACAAACTCATGGAAATTTCTTTTCAAAAACTTAGTGAAATGTCATAGAATTTGCATGATATCATGTGCACAGCCTTTTAATTTTCCTTCTGTTGTCTTTGATCTTGTCTTAGAGTGTTTTCAGTCTATTTTCAATCAGCCTTAGTTAGTCCATTAGATTTTTATTTATTTATTTTCAGATTCTTCTTCCCTTTGTATTATTCCACTGTTTGCTTGTCTGTTTTCCTTATAATTGTTTTATATGTCAACAAGATTTAACAAAATGAAAAATGTCTTCAAAACATAAAGCCATATTTTTGCTTGTTATCATAAAGTAGGGGTGAAAGAAAGAAAAGTTCTTTAGATAAAATCAGTTAAGTACTCATAATATGTTGATCTAGGAGTCTATGATTTTATTTAGACAGAAGATCTCTGCTGAAGGCAGATTTTGGTCAATTATTTTGGTTTAAAAAAAATTGGTAAAAACTGATGAAGTCATTAAATTTTCAGAAGTTACAAATTATTCCGTAAAGCTTCAGTGACTGCAAATTAGCCTTTGCTATAGCCCTCTACTAGCAATCTATAGATCATTTTATTATTCATGAATTTTAGTAATTTCAGGACACCAGAGGTCATCTTGTGCTCATTTATTTGCTAAACACCTTGTGCTGGTATGCCTATGCTGAAAAATTGCTACTATTTACTTCCCATGAGACAAGCAAGCAACAAAGTGGTGGATTTGGCCCCAGACATCCACTCTGCCAGGCAGCATATACATCTTGCTGTCAGTGGAACAAATGAGCCCTTAAATTGGCTGCAAAGCTTTAAGAACTGAAATTTATATGTCTAGTTATCAAACAGAAAGTTCAGAACACCTGCCAATATGAAGTATAATTGTGACAAACTGTTACATTTTACCTTTAACTTTCTGGTGTTAACACCACAACTTCATTACAAGAACCTTATCCTCCCTACTCTTCCTTTCTCCCTTTCCCCAGACCAGATCACCACCTTAAAAATGCTACATTCATTTGCAAAGGCTGAGCTACCATAATTACATTGGGTCATCTATCAGCAGATAAAAAACAAACAAACAAGCAAAAATTAACATATTAAAAATGATAGAATAAGAATATTCCATAAGAATAACCACAGAATTTCACATATTTTTACAAAAGACTAACTGTATTTAGGTATCAAGTATTTATAACATGCTCAGTGGTCTTTCCAGAGAATATCTACAACTATGAAATAAACTTTGTGTTTTTTTCTTGTTTCCTTATTAGTTTGTTGTTTGTTTGTTTGTTTTTCCTTAAAAAAATGAATACAATTACCTTTATTATTATTATTATTTTTTTTAATTGACGAAATATTTTGTCTCTTTTTTTGGTCCCAGAGTCTAAAATGCTTTTTTTTTTTTTTAACCTCTCTTTTCTTTTTTATCTTTCTTTATCATTTTTTATCTGAAATGCTTTTTTTTTTTTTTTTTCACCAATACTCCATCAATTGCTAAACTATTTACTCTTGATCCAAATGTTCTGT